CCATACTGGGAGATAACGTCAGCTTGGTAGGGTGAGGTTGAAGAGAAAGATCTTAGAATGCCAGGATAATTAATGCAGTCTTGATCTCTTATGCAACCTATTGTTAATGGAGTCATTTCCTCACTTAAGGACTTTCCTGATAACATCTTTGAAATTTGGTTTGAGTCAACTGTTGCCTTGTTATTTATAGCCTCAAAGCCTGATATATTTCTGCTGAAATCTACAATGCTGAAATATTAGCAGGATCAATCAAAACACCCCGCAAATCATTCTGAACCATTTTATTAGAAGCTGTTGCTGCAGTCACAACTTCAGAGGGGCTACTTACTTTCTCTCCCCCTTCTGTCTCACAGGGCAATCACGAGGGCTCTGATTTGACTTTGGTTCTATGGCCAGAATATTTCTTCAAAAGGTTCCCCGCTATCTGAGATATAATACTTTAAGCTTAAAAAGAGCAGGGACATGTTCTAAATTCGACCTAGGTTTAGTTCAATCCAGTGAAATAAAGTAAGTAGAAGTCTCAGAATCCCATCTTGCATTATAAGCCTTTTTTTCTTTTTTTCAGAAAAACACAAAAAGATTTGTCCTCACATTTAAACTCTATTAATAAAATAGAAGAGGGAAGAATTAAAATTAAAATGTATTGCTATTATGTATTCATTTAACAAATCCTGTGAGCTTACATGTTGGACTAAGAACAAAAGATGAATTGGTGAACAAGAAAACCTTTCTGCTTGCATTAATCTTTACATTCCAGTAGGGACATAATGCATATGAACACATATATATCTCTGTAAATAAGAAAACTAAGTGTTTTGTACAGAGTGACAGAATATGTACTTTAGACTGGTTGGCCAGGAAAATTCTTTCTGAGGAGGAGATATTCGAACAAATCTGAATGACAAGAAGTCAATCCCATGAAGATATGGGGAAGGCATCTTCCAGTGATGTAGGAAAAAGAATATGGGGCAAGAGGATGGCCATGTCCCTGGCTCGGTTGAGTCCCTGGGACGTGCCCTGCCAAGTGTGGGTCCTTGACTTCACTCAGGAAAGAATTCAACAGCGAGCCACAGTTGAGTAAAGGTAGATTTATTCAGAAAGATACATACCCCATAGAGTGCAGGCTGTTTCAGAAGGCAAGAGAAAGGCCATGAGGTGTGGGGGTTGGGTGCTCAGTTTAAAGCAGAAGTAGTTACACATTCCGTAGCCAGCGTGCGGGCCGGCTCAGTCAGAATGCGGAGCAGCCACGAGTGTGGGGGTGGTTAGTTTTTAATGCACCCAGTAACTTCCTATGCTAACAAGTGGGAGGATTATTCCAACTACTTTGAGGAAGCGGCTGGGATTCCCAGGAACTGGGCCACTGACCACTTTTTGACCTTTTACGGTCAGCCTAAGAACTGTTATGGCACCAGTGGGAGTGCCATTTCCCAAGCTAATACGTTACAATGAGTGTATAGTGAAGCTCAAGGTCTACTGGAAGTCAAATCTCCCACCATCTTGGGCCTCAAGGCCTCCTGGGAGTTGAATCTCCTGCCATCTTGGTGTTAATTGCTCTGTCATTCCTTGAATGGCTGTGCCCTGCCCCCTTCCCTCCTGCCTCACCAGGAAGAGGAAAGAACTAATGTACAAGTGTATTTTGTCAAGAAATAAAAAAGAATTCTACCCCTGCCACTCAACTCACCTGGACAATTTTTAAATTGGGGTCCATGCTACAGACCTAATAAAAGAGAATGGAACATAACTGCTATCATATGAAAGTTTGTGCCCCACTAAAATTCATATGTTGAAACTAATGCCCAGTGTGATGGCATTAGGAGGTGGGGTCTTTGGGAGGTGCTTAGGCGAGGAGGTGGAGCCCTGTGAATGGGATTAGTGCTTTTATAAAACAGACTCCAGAGAGATTACTTCCCTATCTGCCACGTGAGGACACAGTGAAAAGATACCTCTATAATCCAGGAAGTGGGTCCTCACCAGACACTGAATCCACTGGTGTCCTGATCTTGAACTTCCCAGTCTCCAGAACTTGAGAAATAAATGTTTGTTGTTATTAAGACACCCAGTTTACGGTATTTTGTGTAGCAGCCAGAATGGACGAACACAATAACGGAATAACAATGTAAAATAATGGAGTTGGACTGACAATTATCTATCCTTTCTCACCTACATAGTCTCTTGGCAACTGCTGTTCTTTTGGACTATAACGACCACATTCTAAGTGAACAATACACTTTCCTTCTTACTATTGGTAAAAGTATTGTGTATTTTTCTTTCATCATGGTAAGAGGGAATGCCACAGTAAAATTATACTACCAATCACTTTTGAGGTTCAATTCTTTATGTCTATTAATTTTTAAATTATTAATAAGTATATTCTAAATATAATCCAAAATGATTGTCATTGGAGCACCAGTGACATCACTAAGATGGTGAACAAATCGGAACTCCAACCATTTTTGAACCAGTAGAGGACTAGCAAGGAACCCTTCATATCCAATGAAATATGTCTGGATTAACCATACTTGATTTCCAAGTATATCCAAGGCTCTTCTGAATAAAGTTTAAATTCACTTATATAACAAGCAGGGAGCTACCCCCTATCCACTAATCACGACTGCTTTCCTTTAGCTTCATTCCTCAAGCCATCAAAAGATAGTAACTATAATCCTGCCAATGTTCGAGAGACAAGACAATTCTAAATAATAATAATAGTAGCAGCTACCATCTATGGAGCAGGAAGGATGCTGGATGGTTTACAAAGACAGCCACAGTAAAACTTTGTGACCTCTCCCTTAAGAAGTGACTCTTTCACCACCCATTGCATCTGGGCTGGTCTTGTGACTTGCTTTAATGAACAGAAGGTGGACATTGGCCAAGTGTTAGAGTCTAAGCTTAAAAAGATCTATTGCTTCTGCTCTTGCTCTCTGAGAATGCTGCTCAAGACCACTCTAAAGAAGCCCAAATCAGCCTACTAGAGGAGGAGTGGCCACGTAGAAATAGAGGGTCAACCATCGGAGCTATTCCAGCCACACAACAGATTCATGAGAATGGCTGTCTTACAAGCCAGCCAGTCCCAGCCAAGCCAAGCCAAGCCAAGCCATTATGTGATCTCAGCCATATGAATGAACTTAGGTAAGACCCATAGAAGAACTGTGGAGTCAACCACTAAATCATGAGAAATAAGTCAATGTTGTTTTGGGAGGGGAGGGGTAATTAGGTTTATTTATTTTAATGGCGGTACTGGGGATTGAACCCAGGACCTCATGCATGCTAAGCAAGTACTGTACCACTGAGCTATACCCTCCCCCCAAGTCTATGTGTTGTTTTAAGCTCTTAAATGTTGGGATGGGGTTTTTTGCAATAATAGATAAATGATAACCTAAACATGGACTAGGAGATCTAAATGTTTCATAGTGAGTATCTAAATGAATTTTTTAAACAATCCTGTGATGTCAAACTATTAAAGACATCCCATTACAAATAAAGAATTTGAAGCTCAGTAAATTTAAGTAACTTGCCTAAGGTCACACAGTAAAGCAACAAATCAAACCCAGCTCTGTTAGTCCCCAAGAACCTATTTATATCACTCTACCATTCTATGGGGGTGTTTTAAAGTATCATTCCATAATAACGTTAGTGAAGGAAAAAAGGTGGGTGATGAGGCTTTCAAAATCCAAGCCAGCTTCAGGAGAACTAGATAACTGATACTCCTTAAGCCACAGTGCCAGAGAGATATGGGCAATATGAAGAAGCAGAGGAACCACTCCCAATTAAAAGATCGAAAGAAATCCCCTGAAAGCACAATTAAGGAAATAGACCTCGATGATCTACTAGATCAAGATTTCAAAAAATGAGT